TCCTTCCTTCCTTCCTTCCTTCCTTCCTTCCTTCCTTCCTTCCTTCCTTCCTTCCTTCCTTCCTCCCCTGTGAAGCCCAATGACCTGAGTTTTGGCTAATGGCCTTCTTTCATCGCCAAGGGGAGTCCCGGGACAGACCCTCCCCCTTAGCACACCTAAACCACCTCCACCCATTCTGAGCAGCTGGCAGTGGGGAGAAATGCCTCACAACGATGAGACAGAGCCGCCTTCATTTCCACCTCAGAGACTGCCTAGAACTGCTCAGTGTCTTTTCACGCTACTCACTTTGTCATGGCGGATTTGGCTTGATCCCGGATGATCCCGACATAATGGTCGATCTGAGTCTGAGGACCAAAAGCAACAGGGAAGGTAGTCAGGGATAGCAAAGAGGGTCATACACTGTCCAAGTTATACAACTCTGCCCAGGGTGGTAGCAGTTCAAATGAAAAGTTTATTGCGAGCTTATTCTCTCTACAAGAATGTGAATTGCTGTCCAAACATATTGGAATTTCAATGGAATTCGTGGTGGCCTGGCCTTAGATCTCTTGTGGGCTTGAAGAGACTCAAGACTGATGATGTGTTTGACCCCTCCTCCTCTCTCCCATTCATAGCTCTGGTCTGTCGCCCCCCTGCTTTTAGGCCAGTGTTTCCCGACCTCGGGCACTTGAAGACGTGTGGACCAACTCCCAGAATTCCCCAGCCAGTCCTGCTTTGTGCCTTGCCGGCTTGGGAATTCTGAGAGTTGAAATCGACATGTCTTAAAAGGTTCCCCGAGGTCGGGGAAAACCCTATCTTTAGACTTTCAACACAGGTCCCCGTCCTCTAATTTTCTGTTCCCCATTTAAAAAACAAAGAGGGGGGATAAAATGCTGGAAAAGAATGCAGCAATATTCCATGCTTGAAAAATAAAGAAGAAATAAAACACATTGCCTTCCGTTCTTATTTACTCTTCCAGTCCTAACAAGCTGTCCAAATGCCCCCAAAATGGGATCACAAATTCTGTTCCTCTTTTTTTTTTTTTTTTTTGAACACACTGCCCTGTTCTCTGTATGTTTCAAAGCTTGAGAAGAAGTTTGCGATTCCCTGTTGCTGTTTTATCTAGGAAAAAAAAAAGCCAGAAAGCGGCCAAAGTCCCTTAATATTGTCAAAGTCACCAACTTTCTCCAAAATCCCATTATTTCAAGCAATCCTGGGAGACACAAACCCTATTATCGTTATTATTATTATTATTAATCTTCCCAAATGGCTTGCCCAGAATTCTTGGGACCGAAGTTACCTTACCTTATATTTCTCATAAACAACCGGCATGCTAAAAACCAGCAATTCCCCTAAAAAAAAAGAAGAAGAAAAAAGACATTAAAGGTCAAATGGGGTGAAGCTCGATTCCGGAGAGGCTTGTGGGGCCAATCAACAGATCTCCAAAACCCAAAAGCTACTTAAAAAATTGAGGATGGGCCTCAGAATTGAAAGCAGGCCTCTCTATGGTAGATGCTCTTTGCCTCACAGAAGGGGGAAACTGCGGGGAAGCTGTGGGATTTTTGATTAGGGGACTGGAGGCTCAAACATAACCAAGAACGGCTGCAGGAACTGGGTGTGTCTAGTCCGATGAAAAGAAGGACCATGATAACAGTCTTCCAATATCTCAGGGGCTGCCCCTAAAGAAGAGGAAAGGGTCAAGCTATTCTCCAAAGCCCCCGAAGGCAGGACAAGAAGCAACAGGTGGAAACTAATCAAGGAGAGAAGAAACTTAGAACTCAGGAGAAATTTCCTGACACTTAGAACAATTAATCAGTGGAACAACCTCCAGAAGTTGTGAATGTTCCAACATTGGAAGTTCTTAAAAAGATGTTGGATAACCATTTGTCTGAAATGGGTGTAGGGTTTCCTGCCTCAGCAGGGAATTGGACTAGAAGACCTCCAAGGTCCCTTCCAACTGTTATTCTATTGTATTATTCTATTCTATTCTATTCTATTCTATTCTATTCTATTCTATTCTCTATTCTATTTTCTATTCTACTCTATTTTCTATTCTACTCTATTTTCTATTCTATTCTATTCTATTCTAATTTCTATCCCCTATATTCTAGTCTTCTATTCTATTCTACTCTATTCTTTCTTCCAATATCCTATTCTATTTTCTATAAAATCTATTCCATTCTATTCCCTCATTCTATGCTATGCTGTGCTATTCTTATTCCATCCCATCCCATCCCATTCTCTACTCTACTCTACTCTACTCTACTCTACTCTACTCTACTCTACTCTACTCTACTCTACTCTAACAAATTAGGCAAGAACCATCATCTCTAGACACTCAGAAAGAGGAAGGTTTAGGGCTGGGAGGAAATGCACAGCAGCAGCAGGTGATGGAGGGACATTTAAACCTTTCTTGGGCTGTTTTATCATGCGGTCCAGCAAAGAAAGGGTTTTTTTTTTTTGCTTTGGCCATTGCTGATGTCCCGTTTCTTATCATGCTACCCAGACCGTTTTTTTTTTATTCTGGATGGGCGTAAGAACTGCCAGTTTTTTTCAAACAGGTGCCTTAGATAACTTTTTTTCTTTTTTTAAAAAACCTTCTCCTTCCTGATGTCTCTTCCTTTATGGGGCTGCGTACTTTCGAGAGCAAACTTAAGAATCAATCAAAGCCGCCTGGAGTCACTTGGTAGAGAGATGGGTTATAAATAAAAATAGAATAGAAACGAAATTAAAATAAAATAAAATTTAAAATAAATTAAAATAAAATAGAAATAAAATAAAGACACATTTAAACATTAAATTATAATAAATTAAATTTTGGAAGAGGTGGGATGCTGTAGAGGGGAAGGTAACAGACAGGTAGTACTGGAGAGACCTGGGTTCAAGTCCTCCCCTCAGCCTCAAGAAGCTCCCCGAGAGACTCTGGGCCCGTCCATCCCTCTCAAGTCAGCCTACCTCACAGGGCTGTGGTTCTGGGGAAGAACAAATGCCCTTTTGAGGTCCCCAATGAAGCACGGGATATAAATCTAAAACCAAAATGAAGAGTAACGAACGGAGGAGGAAGCAAATGGGGGGTCTCGGCCCCCTGCCTGCCTGGTCACTGGGGAACCGTCCATGCTTTCTATCTCTATCTCTGTTTGTAACTTACCAAGGATGAGGAGGGTGATCCCATTAAAAATGGCCCCGACGTACGTCATCAGCCACATGACGACTGCGAGCTGCAGACCAAACAGGACAGGGCAGAGTTAGCAAGAATGGGAGGGCAGGAGTGTGCGCTCGGGGGCACTGAGCGGTGAAACTGGGGCAGCCAAATCTCTTTTGATAGCGGCCAGGTTTTCCTCTGCCCACTGGTGTCCGACTTTAGGGACGGTTGCTCGCCTCCGTGTCTTAACCAAGGGAGCCAGAGCTGTCCGAAGATGCGTCCGTCTTCATGTGGCCAGCATGACTCTAGGGGCACAGAACGCTGCAGCCTTCCCGCCAAAGTGGTACCTATTTATCTACTCGCATTTCGCACGCTTTCAAACTGCTGGGAGGGGGGTGGGGAGGAGTGGGAGCTGGAGCTGGAGCAAGGAACGGGAGCTCACCCCTTTGCACAGCGCCGGGGTCTCGAACGGTCAACCTTCTGGGTGACAAGCCCGTCGTCTTAACCGCTAGGCCAGTGGTGGCTTGCCTTTTGGGGCTCCCATGCCGAAAATTGTGGGTGCGCTCCCGTGCCAGCACCCGGAAGGCAACGCATGCGCCTCCCCTCACGCCCCCTGAGCATGCTTGTAAGACATACACACACCGTGTATGCATGCCAGATTCCCAACGATCAACTGGCGGGCGGGCGGTGGCCATGCATGCGCAGTGGGGCTCTTCCAGGTGACCTTTCGTGTGCTGTGCCATAGGTTTGCCATCATGGTGCTAGGCCACCGTATCTCTAGTAGACGAAGGTGGGTGGAGGGAGCCACCCTTTCTCCTCCGAGAAGGGAAAAGAGAAGCCAGCCCCTTCCCTACGGGGCTACCTGTGGCTTACCTGGGAAGCTGATTAGTTCACATTTTTAACGTGCCCAATAATTCCCCATCTCAACACTAAGCCCAAACTCAACAAGGTTAGGAAGTGGGGTGGGAAGCTGGTTAGAGAGTGGGGAATGGAAGCCCCTTGCCTCCTGCTGAGTTACCACCCGCCAACCTTTCCACGCCCCCGGGCAAAGCACCCTTGGCCCAAATGCCTGAGTCAGGCCTGGCGCTGACCTTCAGTGAATCAACCAAATCTTCCACCAGGAAGAGGCGCAGGATGGCTTTCAGGGCGTGATTGATGTGGACCAGGGCGGCGCTGACATAGTGATGGAAGGTCTCGGAGGAGAGAGCGACGTCCATGTCTAGGTAGGCTCTGAGGAGGGAAGGGGGAGAGTGTCACAGCGAAGGAAACACAGAGGTAGTAGTCTTCAGCTTACGGCTGATCCCTTAGTGACCCTGAGGACACAGATGAACCTCCCAGTGGCCTTAAGGACCCTCTGAAAGGATGCAAATGACCAGCTGTGTCCTCAGATAAATCTCTGTCCTCAGATCAATGGGTCCTTCCACACCCATTTGCACCACTCAGGTGACCCTGAGGACACAGATGAACCTCCCAGTGGCCTCAAGGACCCTCTGAAAGGATTCAAATGACCAGCTGTGTCCTCAGATAAATCTC